ATGCCTTTGTGTCTGACACAAAATCCTGGGGCCATAAAAGCAAAGATTGGATAATTTACACAGATTTCGAAGTTAATCTGAATTTACAAAAATCAATAAGATGAATTGCGCAATTTATTTGAGCAAAGGATATGACTGATAATATATAGGAAAAACAAATGACCAGTAAACATGAATAGAATATCAGTCTCATTCATAATGAAAGAAATGATCAAAACAGTGAATCATGGATTATTCACTTAGGAGATTTGCAAACTTGTTTGTCTTGCTTGATAAAGTCCAGCATTGGTAAGGGTGTAGGGGAGTAGACAGTGTCATTTACTGTTGGTAGGAGTGTGACTTGGTGCAACCATCTCTGGAAATCAGTTATATACACACACACACACACACACACACACACATATATATGAATGTCAAACGCATAGTCCTCTGACCCAGAAGTTCCACTGGTAGAGATTACCCTATAGCTTTTTCCAAGGATATGCCAAGGTAGTCATAATTTCAAAAACCCAGACAATTGAAATTCTGTAAGAAGAGAACTGATTAAATTATCATACATCCACATAGGAGAAAGCTGTATCGCCATTAAGCAGAATGAGTTACCTCTTTTTATGCTAATGTTGTGTCTTAGTCTATTCGGGCTACTATAACAAAGTGTCATAGACTGGGTGCCTTATAAACAACAGAAATTTATTTCTCAGAGTTCTGGAGGCTGAGAAGTCCAAGGTCAAGGTGCCAGCAGATTTGGCTTCTGGCGAGGGCCCACTCACTAGTTCATAGACAGCTGTCTTTTCACTGTGTCCTCATATGGCCAAAGGGACAAGGGAGTTCTCTGTTGTCTCTTTCATAAGGGACTAATGAATCTAATTAATCCCATTTGGGAGGGCTCTGCCCTCATGACCTAATCATCCCCCAAAGAAAACACCATCACATTGTGGTAGGGTTTCAACATATGCATTTTGGGGGACATAATCAGTTTATAGTATGTCAGATGTTCTACAAGATACATTGAGTGACAAAAGCTAAGTACAGAATAGAACGTAGGTAATGTAATGAGCCCATTTGGGTAGGATTTTTTTTTTTTTTTTTTCGGTACACGGGCCTCTCACTGCTGTGGCCTCTCCCGTTGCGGAGCACAGGCTCCGGACGTGCAGGCTTAGCGGCCATGGCTCACAGGCCCAACCGCTCCGCGGCATGTGAGATCTTCCCAGACCAGGGCACGAACCCGTGTCCCTTGCATCGGCAGGCGGACTCTCAACCACTGCTCCACCAGGGAAGCCCTGGGTAGGAATTTTTAAAGGATGTATATGATTTATTCTGATATATGTGCAGAGAAGTTTCTAGAATATACAGGAGTTTGTTAATGGTGATTTCCTTCCGGGGGAGGTGGGAGACTAGGAATAAATGATGGAGAGATTTTTTTTTTTAACATATTTTTTGTAAATTTTTTTATGCGTGTGTTTTATTCCCCCCTTCCTTTTTTCAAATAGCTAAAATCAAAATTCTTTACTGATAAGAGAATCCAGATGTAGTTCTCAGAATTTACATACCTCTAATCTATATACATTTATGTAGTTAACTTTTCCTTTTGAAATTACAGATACCTAAATAATTTATTTCCTGGTCTTATTTTTTTGTTTGTTTTAAATTATGAAATGTTTTGAGAGCTATAAACCATAAATTAATACTTAATTCTAAAAAACACTGCCTTACCTCTTAAAATTATTAATGACTAATCTGGTATTTTAGCATCTTCTTAGAAGCAGCAGTGATGTGATAGGAAAAATAGCATAGGCTTTGGAGTCATAGAGACCTAGATTTCAAATTCCAGTGTAATAAAAACTAGCTTTTATTTTAGCCTTAGGAAAGTTAACTTGAAATAGTGAACTTAAGAATGTCAGTCCTCTACGTTCGCAGGGTCGTTACAAAGATTAGGTGAAAAAAGATGTACGGTTCCTGGTATTGGGTTGGCCAAAAATTTCCATGTTACAGGGAAACCCAAACAAACTTTGGCCAACCCAATATGTAGTAATTACTCAGGAAACATTAGTTTCTTCTCTTGGCATCTCTCCCTATCTCTGAAAGATAACTTTCAACCTTTGTTGGGTTGTCTGCTTCTTTTATCTCATACTTAGAAAATCTGGTATTTAGCAATGTTTAGATATGGTATTAGACCTAGGTGACAAATAGCACCAATAAATCTTTTGAGTTTTCTGGTTTGTTTTAATTTACTATTGGAATTATGGGGCCTGAGCATGCTGCAGAGTTCATCTCGTTGATCACTCTTGTTAGGAATTGTCTCTAATGCTTGTCTCATCCCACAAAATATATTTACAGTAATGCCACAGGCAATCCCTTATTTGTTATAACTTAATTTTCAGATTGAGTTCATTTCAGTAACAGGGACAGTATTTACTATCCTCTTTGTTCTATAACTTTTTAAACAATTTGGAGATCACCCGATAGAATACCTTGCCTTGCCATTTCGTTCTGCTTCACATTATGAGAAGCCCTTAAGGGGCTAAAATGCTGACAAGCAACTAGAGAAACCCATATTGTTTGGGACCTCGGCGAGTTCACCCCTGTGGTGCTGAAGGACCAAAGGCCTGACTGTTCTGGCCCCACCTCTTCAGCCCCTTGCCCCCTTAGTGGGTTCTAGCCTGGTGGTTTCCTTTCAGTTCCTTGCAGTTACCATGATCATTTCTGCCTGAGGGCCTTCACATGTGCTTTTCCTTTTTTCCACAATTCCTTCCTCACCCCAACTTGTCAAATGTGGGTTGAACCTGAGGCCTCTTAAAAATTCTGTCGTTTGGAACAGGTATTGTGTTTGTTTTGACTAGAAATATTTACTTTGTTTTACTTGAGATTTATATAGCTTACAAATATCTCTGGATTCTATTTTCCCACTCATAGACACAGGCGGTATCAAGAGTTAATACCATAAAGAATGGTGGCTCTTTCCTGCTTTTGGCACACTCAACACCTGCAAGCCTTGCTCTGGGGAATGAATGCTCCACCCACCATGCCCACAGGCCAGGGGACTTTATGGAACTGTGGAACTTGTCTTAGTTTTCTTAGTGATCAATAAGTTTCTCTTTAGGCTGGAATTAGTACTAATTTTTCTTTCTCTTGTAGCACCAAACAAGATTTGTGATGAAATGGAGCCTGGAACAAACTCTTTTCGAGTAGAATTTCCTGATTTTTCCAGCACCATTCTGCAGAAACTGAACCAGCAGCGCCAGCAAGGACAATTATGTGATGTCTCCATTGTTGTCCAAGGCCACATTTTCCGAGCACACAAAGCTGTTCTTGCTGCCAGTTCACCCTACTTTTGTGACCAGGTACTCCTGAAAAACAGCAGGAGGATTGTTTTGCCTGATGTGATGAACCCCAGAGTGTTTGAGAACATTCTCCTATCAAGTTACACGGGACGTCTAGTAATGCCTGCTCCAGAAATTGTTAGTTACTTAACAGCTGCAAGCTTCCTCCAGATGTGGCATGTGGTAGACAAATGCACTGAGGTTTTAGAAGGAAACCCTACAGTCCTTTGTCAGAAGCTAAATCATGGCAGTGATCACCAGTCTCCCAGCAGCAGTAGTTACAATGGCCTGGTAGAGAGCTTTGAGCTAGGCTCTGGGGGCCATACGGATTTCCCCAAAGCCCAGGAACTGAGGGACGGAGAGAATGAAGAGGAGAGCACCAAAGACGAGCTGTCATCTCAGCTCACCGAGCATGAATACCTTCCTAGCAACTCGTCCACAGAGCATGACCGGCTGAGCACTGAGATGGCGAGCCAGGATGGGGAGGAGGGGGCCAGCGACAGTGCCGAATTCCACTACACCCGGCCCATGTACAGCAAGCCCAGCATAATGGCTCACAAACGCTGGATCCATGTGAAGCCTGAGCGCTTTGAGCAAGCGTGCGAGGGCATGGATGTGCATGCATCCTACGATGAGCACCAGGTCACAGAGTCCATCAACACCATGCAGACAGAGCACTCGGTCCAGCCCTCGGGAGTAGAGGAAGACTTTCACATCGGGGAAAAGAAAGTGGAAGCAGAGTTTGATGAACAGGCTGATGAAAGCAATTATGATGAGCAGGTGGATTTCTATGGCTCTTCCATGGAAGAGTTTTCCGGAGAGAGGTCAGATGGGAATCTCATTGGGCACAGACAGGAGGCTGCCCTAGCAACAGGCTACAGTGAGAATATTGAAATGGTAACAGGGATTAAAGAAGAAGCTTCCCACCTAGGATTCTCAGCCACCGACAAGCTGTATCCTTGTCAGTGTGGGAAAAGTTTCACTCACAAGAGTCAGAGAGATCGACACATGAGCATGCACCTTGGTCTTCGGCCTTATGGCTGTGGTGTCTGTGGTAAGAAATTCAAAATGAAGCATCATCTCGTGGGCCACATGAAAATTCACACAGGCATAAAGCCATATGAGTGTAATATCTGTGCAAAGAGATTTATGTGGAGGGACAGTTTCCACAGGCATGTGACTTCTTGTACCAAGTCCTACGAAGCTGCAAAGGCTGAGCAGAATACAACTGAGGCTAACTAAAAATAGGATCTGGCCCTTGAGTGGCAGGCACAAAAATAAACTATGGTAATTATGCAAATCTGGGCACAGATGATGCGTGCTACTTGCTATTATGAGAGAAGCTTAAAAAAAAGGAAGATATTTCTGAAAGACCAGCTCTAAGTAGGCCAATTAAAAAATCTTAATTCTTCAAATTTGTATGTTCCAGGCCTGTAGTGGGTAATGGGGATAAGTTAGCCCACCTCACACCTGGCAAGGTAAACCTTCAGGCCCATTGTGAATGAGGCAGGTGGACTTGGTCATAGAGACACCTGCACTTGGAATTGGACTCCAACCCACCAGTTCCATTTCAGGTGGCAGCAGTTTTTGATCACTCATTATTACAAGGTCATTGGAATTTTATTTTGCTCTTACTATAGATACTTAGGTAATGTGGGTTTGTTTTGGTAGCTGCTTCATTGAACGAAATGCTACTTATGTAATAGCTACAAATAATGTGATTCCTAGGATACTAAGTTGATTAACAGAGCTCTCTTACCTGGGTTTATTCTTTCTAAAGGGTATTTTAACCAAAACTCTGGAAATAGTAAGAGGGTGACATTCTAAGTAAGAAACAAATAACTTATGGTACAAGCTTCAAATTCTGTAAGATGCCACTGTCACAATGTGTTTCAGACTCTTGATAAGTCAGAGTTTTATATTTTAGTACTAACATTTAGTTTAAACAGCTGTTTGTAATTGTAATTCTCTAGGGTGCCAGACATAGGTATTTCTAACTGGTTTGCTGTCCCAAAGCCCGTTTAATTGTAGCATCCACACAGTGGGATCTGCTCTGTGGCTAGCAGACATCTAGCCTGCTTTGACTCTCTGACCACGGTACCATTGGCTGCTCCAGCCGATTCACTCTGTCTTAGATTACGGTGCTTCCTGAAGAGGTCAGTCAGTGACCACAGTTACTGGGAAGGAGTCAGAAGTCACGGCTGAGAGTTACCTGTGAGCTTCAGGAGCTAATAGAGTGCTGCAGTGACACTCCAACTGTCTGAATGAGAGTAGCCGAGTAGCAGAATTCTGAGTGTCAGGTTATACTTGGGTGGGGCAAGTTGTGGGGTACAGTTACCCAAGAAAAGAGGACTCTTGAAAATACACTGGTGGGGGAGATACTCGTAGAGGGGTACACTGAGCTAATCCTCCCGGCTCTTCAGGAGTGCTGGAATGTGTTTTAAAAGGCGGAAAGAAAGAGTCCTAATTCTAGGAGGTAGTGCACAGATTCATGCTCTCATGTTATAGATAAAGCTGCGTAAGTTTACAAGTCCACTTAGCTATATCTACCAAAAAACAAGAAAAGCAGCTATTCTGAGACCTTTTCTGAGGATCACTCAGAGGTTTTAGGTTAAAAAAGAAGCATGTTCAGGATGTTTTGAGCTGTGTAACATACCTGAAGTTGTCACCAGGGTAGGGACAGGGTGCTACTGTTATGTTAACTTTTCCGTAAACTTACCGGCTTATTATTTCTTAGTGGAAACTTTTTTTCCTTAAAATAAAAATAACTTTTCTTGGATTTGGGGTGAAATTTTGTTCTAAAAGTTTGGCTTTGTTCTAAAGTGAGAGACTTTGCTGGCAATGGCCTCTGATCCTCAAGCTCCTACCATCAAGGCATTTACTTGTTAAACGTTGTTTGGAAAGGGGAAAGAAAGACTTACTTACCAGTTAACTCTTGTAATCAAGGTTACAAAACAGGGATGTATTCATTAACACTGTATCATTCTCGATATATAAAAAGCACTTTGTATTTAAAACTTTATTATAAATATATATATATATATATATATTGATTTTTTAACCTAGAAACTAGATATTACCTCTTGGTTGTTTGCCACGTTAATATCTTCTTCTCTTAGTGTTGAAACTTCACCAGTTAACAGTCATTTCTCTGTGTACCTAACAGAGAATACAGAAGTGACTTACAATCAAGCTCAGTTGCTCCTTCTCTTTTTCTCACGTTAGAAGCAGTGGGTTTTAGGTATGATCCTAGCCTTTATATGTGAGGAGAAATTGTTGTATTACTCCTACTAATTTCAGTACTAAGGCAGTGAAGTCATTTTGTTCTGCCAAAAGCTGATCACCCTCTCCCATGGTTATCAGCAAACCATTTTCTGCCTGTTTGGAAGGTTTGATGTGCTGGTTTCTATTAAAGATTATATTCAAATGAATGTTGGGACACTTGGGAAGAAGAGTCTGAGAGGTAAAATAAAAATATTCTGGAAAAATCATGGTCCTTCAATTATGTTGAGATCAGCACAGCACCCTGTCATGAGTAATGGTGAGGAAGAGCTCTTGTTCAGCCAGGACTACTGGGCAGCTCTTCGGTGGTGGTTTTGGAAGCAGTCAGTTGTGCTGGGACTTATTTAATGTGTTATGAAGAGAGGGATATCTTTTATTGAACTCCTTATATGTACATCAGCTACTAAATGTAGAATATAAAATGTAAGTTCCTCACATCTGCAGTTTTAAGCTTTTTATGATAGTGGGGTTTTTGTAAAAATTAGAGTTGCTAATCAGGTCAGCCAGACTCTGTGAGGTGGCTGGGCATCTGAAATGCTGGCCGTGTTCAGAGAGGTTGGGGGAAGGGGATTGCCTTAGTTTGTATGTTAAAAGTGAATGTTTATAAACTTTGCTTTTAGGATTAGGAGATCATACTGTATTACTACCTTTTTTTTTTTTTCCTGCCCACCCTGGGTTGGATAGATAGTCTCTCTCCTTACCCTCAGTACAGCTTTAGAAAATCTTTATCCTTCCCATTGAGTTTGGATAGCAGGGGGTTAACATTTCCAAACAGTCTTTCAGGGATCTTGTCAATGGCCTACAACCAAGGTATTTGTCCCCTACTTGGAGTCTTAACTGTGGTTTTTCTCCATTCCCAGTGGGACAGGGCTTCAAGGCACCACCAGTGGTATTTAATATTAGTACTTATGCTATGCCTTTAATTTCAGATACACACATTGCAATAATCCACTTGGTAAAGTAGGTATCACCGTCTAACTGAGGAAGGACTACGATAGCCTTTCCTCAACTGTGGAGGGTTGTCCTCTGGCACTCTCGGACCCCAGCCTGTTGATTCTGATTTCTAGATCTCACATTCCTCCAGTCTCTTCTTTTGGCCACTACTTTCAAAGAGTCTGCCCAAAAGGGTCTCCTCCGTTCTAGTGGGCATTTGCTGAACTAAACTGACCCTAAGCTGACTTCTAGCTGTTTGGGAAAGCTGCTTAGTCTCAGTGGTCTTCCCACGGAGGCACACACCTCCTCAAGCTGCTGTAGAAGTGAAGCTGGGGCAGAGCAGAAGCAACAACACTGTGCTTTCCCTGAGGAAGAGGATTTGCTGCAGCCCCCTGGGGGAGGGTGGAGAGGATGCCATCCCACCAAAGCCAGGTGTTTGCTTTTATAAGGTCTACGATAATTAGGAATACTGAAAACCAAGCAACATACATCCGCGGCCTCACCCCCAGCCGTCTGTGCCACACTAATTTTGTGATTTAGGTTGCTTTCATGGGTGACTAACTTTATTCAGTGAAACCAGGGTGTGTGTTTGTGTGGGTTTTTTCTTTGCTACTTATGTGTTTAAAGGTACATGTTTCTTATTTCAAATCTCTACTGATAGTGCCCTATGGGAAGATGCTGGAACACATTTTACAAATGTGACTTTTTTTTTTTAGTTTTGCTTGAAGCCTGTGTCATAATGTCAGTTGCTGCTGCCTTCTTTCCTTTTATGAGGTTCCCAGTGTTTCTTTTAGAAAATTACTTTATTTATGCAAGTCAGGTGACTCTTAGACCACAAAACCATTTGATGATAAATAGATTATCATTAGGTGCATATCTTATTGATATTTTGTGAAATGTTATGCCTGTGTTGCAAAAGTTGAATAGTTTTGTCTTTATATATTGCTGTCTTCAGTGTACAGCATGGTTTTACTTAATTGAATGTTACTGTTTAATATTTTCTTCTTATAGAAGAGACCACGGCCTTTTGTATGACATGTTTTAATAAATGTTATCTGTCAACTTTGTAAAAGTTTTGTTTTTCACTGTGGATATATAACCACATATCTTTGTTTTCATTCTGGCTTTTGCCATCTGAGAATAAAAGTTATATCGTGGCCTTTTGACAAGTAAATGCCAAATAGACAGCCGGATCAAATGGGTAGCGAGTGATCATTTGCTGTGTCAGGCATTTATGACGATTAACTCACTTAAACCCTCACCAGCCCCATCAGGGATTTAGGTGTGCTGGTTATTCTCTGTTTGCTCCTCCAGATTCCCTCCCCACCTTGTGCTTCGCTTTGGAGGCTTCCCTCTATGGACCCGTCCTTCTGGCTTCTGGTTAGGATCTACCAGAGACACGCTGGGAGGAGCTTGGCGGATGGGAGGAGAAAGAAGGCAGGGCATTCACTCTCCCGGCTCCTTTCTGCCAGGTGTGGGTGGACAGCAGATGGGCTCCTCTGCCAAGGCCCCCAGCTCCTGTCAGGCAGCTTCAGGGCTGGGTAGCAACACCCTTCTCTTGTCCTTTCAAGCTGAGGGTTGGTCTGACTCCCTGTTTTGCCGGCCCTCGGGGGCTTAAGTGGCCTCATAGGAGTTCCTTAACCCTGCCCGTACGCTTTGTAAATAGTCCCTTATGAAACTCTCCTCAGTCCCCCCAGCTGCGTATGGATCTGTTTTCCTGCCAGAACCCCAGATGATGCATTGGGTATACTCGTTTCACATGTGAGCCTGCTGTGATTCAGAGGAGGTAGGTCTGTTACCAAAGGTGGTTCTGTGACTATGGGGTGGAGCTGAGATTCAAAAGCAGGACTTCTGGCTACAACACACGGAGGTGGTTTTTCCACTGCTCAGTAGTGCCTCCATGCTCTTTAGTTGGGTCTCTGCTTCACCTTACTTTCCCCTCCCCTACTCCCCTCCTCCCCACTGCCCGCCAAGAAAACCCTCAAGAGGCAGCAATAGTGCTCTTTAAAAGTGCCGCAGGCACTGTGGGCCCCACGTATTTCCTAACAACAGCTCATTACCAGAGACACTGCTTGTTTTAGACCAAACTTAACCATCTTCCCACACAAACCTTCTGTTACCACTGTTTGTTGTGAGGGGTTTTTTTCCCCTCCCCACTGCTGATTTTGAAGCCAGCTACAGATTGCCTCAGCTAGCTTAGCCATTCTCTGTATGGGAAGAAGTCCAAAAGAACCATTTCTGGCCTTTTTTTTGAGGTGGGGCCGGTCCATCCTGACCAAGGGCAAGCAGTTCAGGCGCTGCAGCATGGTGACCCCTCCAACCCCTACTTTTACCCTTCCTGGGTACCCTGCTGAGGCCTCTGGTTACCTGCAGTCCAGCCCACCTAGGAAGCAGGTTTTCCCATACAGCTCCTGCAGGGGCAGAGACCTCTGTGTGTGAGGATGAGAAGCACCGTTTCTTATCAGGAGAAAGGAAAAAGATGAAGTGGCTCATTTGTATTTGGGAACAGAAGCGGGGGTGGAATGTGAGGGGTGTTATCCAGATGGAGCATGTAACACCTGTGCAGTTTATTTAGATTTCTTCATAGTCCGATCAGGGACCGCTTCCCACCAAACCACCGAAGCATTTCTTGAGAACAGTCTCTGCACTTGGGCACCTTGGAGGGTGTACAGCTCTAGAATTTGCCCACAGTCAATGGACCAGTAAGCAGGTCAGCAACAGGAAATGAGGTAAGCTTGTTGAACTTGATGTAACAGTTATTTACTATTTGGTAAGTGATTTTAAATTTATTCTTTCTCAGTGCAGAACATGAAAGATAAGAACTCTGTACCCTTCCATCTCTATCTTGTGTTCTTTTTAAGAAAACTTGTTCAGTGTCCTGTGTTTAGAGTATGGTGAATGAAGATAGGAACAAATGGCATTTCTTTCCCATAATGAGAAATCAGAAGGGGAATGAAGGTGGAGAGAGAAGTCTTTTTTTTTTTTTTTTTTTGACATCTTAATTGGAGTATAATTGCTTTACAATGGTGTGTTAGTTTCTGCTTTATAACAAAGTGAATCAGCTTTGTTTTGTTTTTTTTTTTTGCGGTACGCGGGCCTCTCATTGTGGCCTCTCCCGTTGCGGAGCACAGGCTCCGGACACGCAGGCTCAGCGGCTATGGCTCACGGGCCCAGCCGCTCCGTGGCATGTGGGATCTTCCCGGACCGGGGCATGAACCCGTGTCTCCTGCATCGGCAGGCAGACTCTCAACCACTGCGCCACCAGGGAAGCCCGAGAGAAGTCTTATAGTCTTTTTCTGAACTGGTTTTACTAGTTCGAATCAAAACT